TTCCAACCGAAGGTCATAATTGGCTTACAATTAAAAATAAATAAACATAAGAAAAGTACACCTCCGTAAAACAAAAAAGAAAAAAAAAAAAAGAGGAAAAAAGAAAAAAAAAATACGGGAGTAAAGAGTAAAGCCTTCCTAACCCTTTCCTTCCCCATTTCACCTTCAATCTCCAACCATTTATATTATATTATTATTATTAGATTCCTGCAATGGTTCCTTCCCATTTTCCATTGAATTGTACAGATATCATCTTCTGAAACTTTAACGCCCAAATCTCAACCCCTTTATTGCGTGTTCATATGCAAGACTGATTCATGTATTTAATTTTTATTTTTGAATTTTAAAAAAATATTTTTGAATTACTGTTATTCTCAGTGGGTTTTCTGGGACTTTAAGATACTGACTCTTCTGGGTCTTCTTGGGTTATGGTATTTCCTGCGTAAACTCGGTTGCAGAAGAAAAACTCCGCACCCACTGTTCTACATGTTGAAAAACTGAAAGGGGACAATTGAAATAGTATTTGCAAATAAATCTTCATTTTCGTTGGAATTTTTTTATATTTTCCAAGGGGCGTTTCTGTTTTTATTTATTTAATTTTTCTCGTTGGATTTCTGGGGAATAAAAAGCTCACAGATATGGGAAAGCAAGGACCTTGCTGTCACTGTGGTATTACAAGTGAGTTTCAAAATTTCCCCTTCTTTTCCTTGTAAGTATTTGAATATTGAAGAAATGGGTTGAGAGTTTTTTTATTAATTCTTTTTCTGTGAATGAGTTTGTATTACATATTAGATTTTGAAACATACAGATTCTTAATTTCTTATATGGTACTTTGCTTTGGAATGGTGTAACTGAGACAAAAAATGTTTTTGAGATGCATTAGTTCCATTATTATATAGGGGTCATATTTGAGCCGCGACAACCCACAACCATAAAACCCTTGGGGTTCTTAAATTTGAAATTTCTATGAAATGGAGCTCTGAATTGTCACGTATACTGTCCTTAGCTTTGTGTCTTCTGCCCTATTTTAACTTGCACAATGTGACTGGTTGACTTCGTTTGTATCTCAAACAACTGAGCAGTTTTGGGATTGAATTCAATACTTTTCTCATTTCTAAATGCAATGAGAAGTATTTGGGTGTGTGGAATTTTCCTTATCTTCTCTATGACTCTACGTTCTTCATCATCACCTTCATCGCATTACTATGCTAAGGTC